GTAAGGCAGGTGCAACAAAGAAACAGAGAGCCAATGTGGAGGCCTGGAATTAGAAAGGATTGTTGACTATGGGGATGGAGAGGGGTGGATGTGGATTCTAGGAACAAAATTCAGCTCAAATCCCACCCCCACCCCTCCCCATACCCTGTGGGAAACAGCCTGGGAGACATTAGCTGCCTCCGGTCTCATTTAGATCGCTACAGACCTTGCCCATCCCTTAGGGAAGGCCTGGAACAAAGCAAGTTATTTTATCAAGTGGGGAGCACCTGTTTTATTCATTCTTTTATTCATTCAACCAGTGTTTATTGGATGTCTATTGTGTGCCAGGTCCTGTAATAAAAAGTGTGATTATAACTGTGGTAAGCACCATAAAAGAGATGAACACGGTGCCAGGAGGGCCTATAATCGGGATATGTAAGATATATAATCAATTATATAAGAACCTATCATCAGGATACCAGAACTGGTAACACTGAGGGGGAGTTGATAATGAGGCTGAGCTCCAAAGGATGAGCGGATATTTAACTAGGTAAAGGGGGACAGGAGTAACCCAGGCATAAGGAATGGTCTGTTGCAAAGACCCTGTAAAGAGACAGAGAATAGCTCGTGTATTGGTTAGCTTTTACTGCATAACAAGTTACTCCAAAACTTAGTGGCTAAAAACAGCAACCACTTTTTTTTTTATCCTCACCCGAGGACATTTTTTCATTTTTTTTGTTCAGATAGAGTGGGAGGAAGAGAGAGAGAGAGAGAGAAACATCGAAGTGAAAGGGACACATCGAGTGGCTGCCACCCACACGACCAACCAGGGCCGGAGACAAACTGCAACCGAGGTACATGACCTTAGCGGGAACTGAACCAGGGTCGGGACCACAGGCCGACACTCTAACTGCTGAGCCAAACCGGCCAGGGCGCAACCACTTTTTTTAACCCACAATTTTGTGGACCAGAAGTCCGGCTGGGTTCAGCCAGGGGGTTCCGACAATCTAGGTAACGTCGTGGCTGATGCTGGCGGAGGCTCCCTTGTGCGTCTGTGTTCACTGGCTGACCACGGGTGGGGCTCTGTGGTTCTTCACCTCACGGCCTGTCCTTCCCCAGCAAGCCACCCTGGCTTCCTCCCCGTGGCAGTAACGGCTTCCACGATGCAGCCAAAAATGACAACTTCCGCCCTGGCCTGTTTGGCTCAGCGGTTAGACCGTCGGCCTGTGGTCCGGAGAGACCCGGGTTCGGTTCCCACTAAGGGCACGTACCTAGGTTGCAGTTTGTCCCCGGCCCTGGTTGGGTCGTGTGGGTGGCGACCACTCGATGTGTCCCTTTCACGTCGATGTTTCTCTCTCCCTCTCTCCCTCCCACTCTATCTGAACAAAATATCAAAAAATGTCCTCGGTGAGGATAAAAAAAAAAAGAGAACTTCCGAAGCTCAGTCACTTTCCACGGCTCTGCATCCACCCCACTTGCTCTCTTCCCGTTGCCCAATGCAAGGCACATGGCTAAACCCAGAGTCAAGTGGGACCAAACTGGGGGCTATAACTGCAATAATCTCTCAGTGTGTTCAAGAAGTTGAAGGGGGGAAACTAAAGAGGGAAGAGTAAAGGGGAACACGGCGCAGGTAAAACCGGAGGGGGTGAGAGCCGGACGCGCAGGGCCTCCAAGAGCACACTGAGCGTCCGGTCTTTCCCCTAACAGCAGGCAAGGCCTCTGGTTTCAGATCCCCCGTCTTGTGGGTTTGGTCAGCATAAATAAAGCCCGCGAAGGCTGGACTGCCCTGGGTGAACTAGTGAAATCGATGTTCTAAGATTCAGAAGCTGAGGGCAGGATGTGGGCATGGTTCACCCCACACATCCTTGCCGCAGCCCACACAGATGTAAATGCCCCATGCCTCCCCACCCTGTCCTTGGCACCTGCTTGTTCCTCTGGGGAAAATCTTCTCTTGCCCTAATAGGGCCAGTTTCTGCCTCCCAAGACTCAGCTCCGGCCCCACCACCTCAGAGAAACCCTCCCTGACTTCTCTAAGCCCCAAGACAAGGGACGCATCAAATAATACCATGAAGCCTAGGAATTAAGCCTGCAACTCATTATAGTAGCCTGTGGTTTCTAAAACCAAGTTGGTGAGAGGCCCAGCCCTGCCTGTGTGGCACATACACCTGTGGGCACAGTGCTTTGCCCAAGCTGTAACATTCTTTTTTTTTTTTTAAATCCTCACCCGAGGACATTTTTTGATATTTTGTTCAGATAGAGTGGGAGGGAGAGAGGGAGAGAGAAACATCGACGTGAAAGGGACACATCAAGTGGTCGCCACCCACACGACCCAACCAGGGCCGGGGACAAACTGCAACCGAGGTACGTGCCCTTAGCGGGAACCGAACCCGGGTCTCTCTAGACCGCAGGCCGACGCTCTAACCGCTGAGCCAAACCGGCCAGGGCACATTCTTTTTATGTTTTACCCCACTGGACTATCTTTCCTGAAGGAGTGCCCATAACCCTAGGACTCACACATAGGAGACAGGAATGAATGAACGAACGAATGAATGAATGAATGAATGAACAAATGATTCCATCACTAAATAGGACTTCCCTCTGAAAGCCCCAGCCAGCTTATTAAAGTCTTCTGTCATGCCACTTGAGGGGGGTGTCTTTCCAACTAGGCCAGGGGGTCCAGTGTCTCCCAGTTTCAACATAAAGCCCCCACCCACAGGAGAGAAGCCCCTGGCTCTGGAACAGTCCACGGCGGGGCAGTGGGGAGTGAAGAGAAGGGGGCTCCTTGGGAGACGAGTGCTGCAACCCCATCTACTGTGACAGGGAGAGACCAGCCTGCGGTGGCCTCCCCTGCAGCAGGTCTTCCCTGGGTGCGGGAACAGCTGGCCAGGGCCCTGAGGGAGGCGCTCACACCAGGAAGCCATGAACTGGAGAAGCAGCCCCTGGGAACCAGGGGCTAAGAAGTGGGTCCCAAAAGCTCCAGGCCCTGCCCACCAGTCTTAATGGAGACTTTTCCATACCATCCTGGTCTTGAAACACGAGGGTTTAAACCATACTGTCTCCCTTTACAGAAAAGAAAACGGAAGCCCAGAGAGATAGGCATTTGACCCATTGGCCACTTTAATAGTCATGACCATCTAGAGAAAAGACAACATTTCCCTGCTTTCTTTGCAGCTAAATGTGCCATGACCAGGTTCTAGCCAATGAGTCATGACTGGAAGTAAAGTCTATAACTTTGGGGTTTTGCTCACAAAAGACAAAGGTGTGCCTCGTTTTTCTCCTCCCCACTACCTGGTGAGCCTTCTTGGACCCCAGAACCAAGGGCAACACCTGAGAACAGTGGAGCAGCAATAACGTGGAAAGAACCAGGATCCCTGGTATCTGGCCACACGATCTGGAAGCCACCATATCAGCCCTGACAACGCATGCCTCATGCACTGCTAAGTGAGAAGGAAATAGAATCGCCTATCTTGATTAAGCTACTATTATCTAAGGTGTTTGCTATAGCAGCTGAATCTGTATCCTCCTGACTCATATAATACAGCCCAGGACCAAGTTTCCTCAGGAAGCCCTGGACCACTCGGGCTGCCTAATGCCAGGCACTGTTATTGTCCCAGAACATCAGAGCTGTGATCTCCACCCCAGGAACCAGCTGTGTTCTTGGAATAAAAGTTGGGGAAGCTGCTTGGAGGAAGCTGCTGCATTGCCAAGGATGGGAAGGAAAATGCACACATTTGCTATTCCACCAGTCACCTGCACTGGCTGGGAAAATACTGAAATATTGAGGCCAGGTGATAAGCAGCCACTGCCCTGACCCATCCCTCGAATGTTCCCCCTCCCCGGCTATCTTTGCCCCAGACCCAGCAATTAGAGTAATACCTGGCACAGGAAGGGGTCACCAGGACCTCTTCCTGACCCCTGGACATACCACTTGTTAAACGTTTTGAACATCAACCCTGGCTATAATAAGGTCTGGTCTCCACTGACTGGAAATGAAACCCTGAAATCAGTGTGGAGGGTGATGAGGATAACGTGAGATCTGAAAGCCAGAGGCTGGTCATTGAATACTCACCTCCACCTCCTTCTCTCCTCCCAAAGACAGAAACACCCAGACCCCACCGAGGCGTGCCCTCACCCATGCAGAATATCCACAACCACACCCAGATATTATTGCACTTTTTTATTTACAGAAAACACAGATAAAGCATTTCAATATTCATTTAGCAAACTGATCCACTCTTTTTTTTTTCTTTTTTCTTTTTTTTTGGCACAAAGAAATATCACAGATGGACCCCAAGATCAATCAGAAACCCATGAGATTTATCAGCCATCACTGGTCCAGGGGCAGCCACAAGACTCAGACAGACAGACAGACAGCATCGCCACAGTCTGGAAAAAATAAACAAGGTCCACATTCACCTCACAGTAAAAACCTGCTCACCGACAGGCAAGGGTGGGCAGGAGGGGGCAGTTCCTATGCTCCAAAGTGGGCAGTGGGCATTGGGGGCAGGAAGCGGGATGAGAAGGATAGACACCATTCATAAATTAGAGAGAGGTGGCCTTCTTGTTTTTAACCTCTTACCTTGTAGAAGACAGTGCAAAAACTACCATGCCCTGACCACTGGTCCATTCAAAAGCTCTAGAAGTTGTGTGGGTTGGGGTTTCTCTCCTTGTGGGTGCCTGTGTGTGTGTGTGTGTGTGTGCACGTGTGCACGTATGAGAATGTGTGAGTGTGGTGCTTGTAAACATTGTCACCATCCACACAGAGACCCAACATCCGTGTGTCTGAATGGGGTGGGGTGGGGGCTGTACCCCACTTCACTCCCCCTCTGCCCCAGTGATTCCTGTCCAAGACATAGTGCAAATTTCAGAGACAAAAGAGGCAGAAGGAAGTGGAGGGGGAAGGGAGGTGTGGGCAGAGGGCAGGAAGGACACAAAGACAAGGTGGAGGGGGGGTAATAAGGCAACAGTTAAAAACGGTCCATTTTATCAAAACCGACACCATGTGCCCCTCACCCCCACCCACAGAGCCCCTGTCACAAGAAAGGGCGGAAGTCCCGCTCCTCCACCAGACTGATGGAGGGGTTCTTGAGCTCCTCCTCCGAGGTGGCCACCTTGTAGCCCAGCTGCGCCAGCACCCTCTGACAGGCGTTCTGGGCAAAGGCCACAATGTCATAGGAGAGACGGAAGCGCCACTTCTCGGCGGTGGCGGCCGAGTTGCGCACGGTGCCGTATTTGTGCTTGCCCAAGGTCGGGTCGCCCTGCGTGTTGTTCTGGATCCAGCGGGCCACGTGGCCATCCAGGGGGATGCCCAAGAACCCGTAGATCTCCTCGGTCTTCTTCATGGGGTTCCTGGCCAGGTCCTCGTAGCGCACCAGCATGTACTTGCCTTTGAGCCACGGCGGCCGCATGAGGCCGGTGGACACGGAGTTGGAGAAGTCCTCGCACACCGTGGTCAGCTGCGTCACGTCCAGGTTGTAGGGTTTCCTCCCGGTGCCGTACCAGAGCCGCCAGAGCCGGTAGGTGTCGCGGAAGGTCTCGCTGCGCGAAGCCAGGATGCCCCGCGGGTCTCGGACCAGCTGGATGACCTTGAGGTTTAGCCGGGGGTCCTCCACCAGGGCCCGCAGGTCGTTGACCTCGGGCACCCGCACCGTCTTGATGGCCACGTGGCTGCGCTCGCGGCAGGCCTCGGCGGCCACGGTCAAGTTCAGCAGGCCGCACTTGCGCACGCAGTCCCCCTCCTCCAGCACCGGGTCGGCGGAGCCGGGCGGGTCGCACACAGGCCGGGAGCACAGCACCCGGCTGGCCCCGCGCCGGAAGATCCTGTCCGTGGTGTGGTTGACGGGCGGCGGCTTGATGTAGTTCTCCAGGAAGTGGAGGTCACAGTCGTAGAGGCTCCTCAGCAGGTCCCGGCTGGCGCCCAGCATGACCCGCCGATCCGCGGGGCTCTTGCCCTGGGTGAAGCGGGGGATGAGCGTGTTCTGGACGTGGTAGAGCGGCTCGAACAGGTAGAAGACGTCCAGGTGCTGGTTGAAGAGCTGGCCCACGAAGGAGGAGCCGCTGCGCGTGGTGGCCAGGATGAGGACGTGGGTCTTGCGGGACAGGTTGTAGGTGAAGGTGGGGCCCTCTTCGCACAGGCGCTCGGCCAGCCCCGCCTCGGCCAGCCCCGGGCAGGTGTGGAAGGACTTGGCAGTGAAGGTGCGGATGGCCGTGTACTGGATGGCGATGGAGGCCAGGGCAAGGAGGAGGACGGCCTTCCAGGAACATTGCATGGCTGGGCACCTTCATGGGGCTGTTTCTCTACCTTTCGAGGTCTGCGGGCAAAGGCGGGCAGCGGTCAGGGGGCAGCCAGGCTTGGGTGTCCCACAGGGAAGAAGAGCTGGTCTCCGGGGGGTCCAGGGAAGAACCCTGGCTCCCCGCCCTGTGCTCACTCAGGGCCTGAGTAGCTTCTAGTCTACACTTCACCTTTCCTGGGGGGGGGGGGGGGCTGCTGGGGGCTGAACAAACCGATTCCCTGTGCCCTCTTCTGCGGGGTTTCACCTACGGAAAGCCGCAGGGGCTTTCCAGCAGGAGCTCTGGGCTCCGTAGGGCCCTCCTGGGCAAGAAACTAACTCCCCCAACTCCCACATATAAGGGTTCCTGCCTCCAGCCATTCCCCTACCACTGCAGGTCACCCCTGCTGGCATCTCCTGGGCCACCTGCATCTCCGTCCACCCTCACGAACTGACCCATGCAGTCATCTTTCCTCCATCCCCTGTTCACCCCCAGGAGGAAGAAGAGGCCATGGCAGATGTCTCTTCCCTCCCCAAACCCCATGCCAAAAGAACCCTGGCACTCTGAGTTGCCCGCTGGGCCAGGAAAAGTGGACAACTGTGTGAAGCACCACCATCCCCTGACTTATGGGTGCAGGTGACCAGTTTGCTCTGGATGAGGACTCCTGGGGCCCCTGGGGTCTCTAAGAGTCACCTGGCCCAGAGCACAGACAAGTCCAGGGGCTGCTGAGAAGCGTCCTTCCCAGGCCCCAGTGTGCTCCTAGGTTTGCTCCCAGCCACAGGGGGAAGAGGTCCAGGCCATGGGGCGCATGACCCCCACTGACAGCCGAGAGAACTGGCCCCTCCACCTCCGCCAGTCCTCAGGGCATCCACCTTAGGCCCTCAGCGTCTTCTGTTCACACAGTGAGCTCGGTGACCCACCCGTAACCCAGCAATGGCCCCAGAGAACCAGGCAGGACAGAGAAGAGGAGAGAGTAGAACAGAGGGAGCACCTCAAGCAAAGCGTGTGGGATTAGGAGGGGCCCAGAGAGCTGTGAAAGCGAAGGGTGTGCCCAGGGCCCAGGGCAGAGCCAACCCGAACATCTGAAAGTCCCTCAGGAGAGGCTAGTTTAGCCACCAGACCCGGGGGGAGGGCTGGAGCGAGCAGGGAGGGATCACCACTCACCAAAGAGGGCTGCTCCGAGCTGGGGAGTCCACAGCTGCCAAGTCTCCTGTGTAGCACCCCTGTGGCCAGCAGACTGTGGAGACAGGGAGAGGAGGGGTTCTGAAAATGGAGCCGGGCTCCTAGCACCTCCCTTCCCACCCCTGCTCTCCTATGCCCTGGGCTCTGCTGATTGCCCTCCAGGGCCGGGTGATGACAGTCCTATACCTATCACTGAGTCGGGGCTCCAAGTACTCCAGTGTCATCTCCGACCCTTGCATCCAGCCCTCTGGGTCCTGGGCTACGTAACACCCCCTCCGCTCACTTCCCTCACCTACCCACCCATGCCCTCCTAACAAGCCACAGTCCCTCTGCTCATACCAGAACCCACTGGGCAGAAAGCTGGCAAGCCTGCACCCCCTGCTGACCAAGAGTTGGGACCCCACATGAGCAAACACCCCAGGGAGCCCACACACACACACTCACCACCCAATGGAGCTGCAAAGAAATCCACTGGCCACAAACACCCCAGGCCTAGCTGGCTCTGTTCATTCAGCTCTCGTGACCAGAGCGACCCAGCCAGCCTCAGCACGCGGCCTCCAGCAATGGAACAGAGTGGCAAAGTCCAAGTTATCCCCAAAATTGGGCCAGTGCACAACCCCAGTTGGTTCTGCATGTTAAATCAATAAAACAGCCTGACCTTTCAAAATTCGACTTGTTCAGTGACGATCCAGGAGAGGTTTAGTGGAAATCAACAAGGGCAGGGGGCCTCACCTCACACCTCCAGACGCTGAGGCCTGCAGGAAGGGAGCTGGGGAGGGAGGTTCTTCCAGCCACGCCCGAGAGAAAGGCTACCTGAAACTCAAAGCAAAAGTGGGCCAGGGAGCACTCCTGACCTTCACGCTCTCCACGGATTCGAAGTTAAACACCGAGATCATTGCATCATTGTGCTTCGCACCCATTGAGTACAGCCTACGTGCTAAGCCCTCACCTGGGAGAACTTCAGTGTAAGTTCCATTGCAGGGGCAAGAAAGCTGAGGCACAGAGGTGGAGCAGCCTGCCTGGGCTCACAGGCCTGGGTAACCACATCTAGCAGGTTCCCCAGAGCCCACACTCTTTTCCCTCCAAGGAGATTTGACTTTGTCCCTCCAGCTTACATGTATTTGGCCTTCAAACATGCATTCAATGAATGTCCCCAGCCCATTTGTAATCGGCATGCGAGGGACAGCGCATTAGAAGGGGGCAGACAGATGATTTTCGAGACCCAGAACACGTTCCTTCCCTTTGCTGCCTGGTCTTGTCCAACTGGCTCGTGGCTGAGGGGCTGAACTCGTGTGCCTTGTGAATAGTCTCCCCGCATTATGCTATTTGGTATGATTTCTTTGGACATGGGGCAAAGGGGTCCTCATTTCCCAAACCTGCAGCAATGTCTGGCTGTGCTTACCCAACTCTCAACACCACATTTTTCCTTACAACCCCTTGTGAGAGGTCAGGGTCCCCGCTCCCATTGTTCAGATAGAAAAAGCGAGCCTCAAAGACTAAGCATACATGTACAAGCAAATAAGAAGTAGCAGAGACTCAAATCCCTCTGGGTCAGACTCTCACCATCTCACAGTGCTCTGGCCCCTTCACCACCAGCCTGAAGTGGGGCTGGGGCAGTCTGCTTGCCATGAGGAGGGGACACAGGCTGGGCGGAGATGGCTACAGGCCAGCTGAGGCTCAGGGGCCCAGGAGTCCTGTTTGAAGTACGAAACTCCACTTAGTACCTCTAGGGAGCAGTACCACCTCACCAGGTGGCAGTAAATAGGGGAAGGGCACAATCTAGGTTCTTGGGAACCTCCAATGTGCAGAGACAAAAAACACAACCCTGCCTACACTCCACCCGACCCCTCCCTGACCCCAGGGCAGCTGAGGATGCTGGGTTGGATGAGGTATCCAGAGAGAACAGCCTCTGCCTTACGTTTCACTACCCTGCAAAGTGCTGCCCAGGCCTGCCCCAGTACCCCAAGACAAACACGAACACCTCTAAAGAACAGGTAGGGAATGCCATCAATAATAGTGCTAGGTCATGTTTTAGAGCCTATTCTTTAGTTGCAATGCCATTTCATTCCTTTGTATTTATTCACAACATCTGTCAGCCGCTCAGCATGAGACAGGCACTGTGGGTAAAATAACACAAAGGGCGGTGAGCACTTACTGGGCCTTCACGATGTTTCTCCCGGGCAAATGCTCCCTTCACAGGCAGCAGCTCATCTCGCCCTCATGCCAACTGAAAGACTGATGCTGTAATATCCCCATCTTACAGGTAAGGAAACTGAGTCTCTGAGAGGTTAGATCAATTTCCCAAGTTCACATCTCTAGCAAGCGGGAGAGCCAGGATTCCAGCCTGAGCACTGTGCTCTGGAGCCCACGCTCTAATCCTCCTCCCTAATCCCTATTCCACTCACGTCCCAGCCCCTTTGGTCCTCACCAACACAGGAAATCAGGAGTAACCGAAGCAGCTCGATGTTATAAATGTCTAAGAATGTGGGACTAGGATTGATAAGGTGCAGCTTGGGTACCAAGGAGGGGAACATGTTCAAAGGCCCCATTGCCCACCATCCCCTGCCCCTTGGAAGGGCAAAGCCGGGCCATGGGAACAGGAGGATGGAGGAAACCTGGTCCTCCTAGAAATGTCCCCACTGTCCTGCCAGCCTGGCAGAGCAGGGCCCAGGGCTGGCCAACTCTTCTTGGTATGCTAGAGGCATGTGTCCTGAAAACCAAAGGCCCTGGCACTAGGTCCCATTGTCCCCAGGAAAGCCTTGATCACTACAAGGGACTCCTCAATGCCCTTGACCTCGAAGCCAAACTGAGCCCCAGGTTCCCTCCCTGAGCTTCTAGCAGCCCTGACATGGCCTCCCTCTACCTCTGGTGAGTCGAAATCCCAGCAAATCATAGACCTAGAATCTGTAACTTGTATTGGAAGGCAGGAGAGTTGGTGAACTCCCACTCCCAACAGAAAGCTCAGATTTCAGTGCCAGCCACCTTAATATTAGGGCACAGGTCACCACATGGTGGGGGGAGGGTGGAAAATGCCTCTACATGGGAGAACTATAATTCAGAGCTAAGAGCTCAAGCCATGGAACCATGCCCACTTAGATGTCACTTAGCAGGTGTGTGGACCTGGGTGGCTCACTGTCTCTGAGCCTCAGTTTCCCCATCTGTAAAGTGGGCATAATCATAGAATCGAAGAACTTAAAGCATTTAGTCAATGCCAGGCAGAGAATATGGCACAGCCTCTTGCTTGGGACATGGCCAGATTTCTTAATCTCTCTTGGCCTCTGTTTTCTCACCTGCAAAATGGAGATAATTTTAACAAGACTGTTGTGAGGACGAATTCATTAACAGTGCCTTGCATAGAGTAAGCACTCAGTGAATGTAACTTACTATTATTATCATTAAACGTACTATTTGCTTTTTGTCTTAGGAAACGCCTCAGCACAAATCATCACTAACTCTGGCACGCACACTCCCTAGCCGCTGTGCCCAGATCTCTGCCAGGCAGGCCTCTGCCCACTGCCCCTTCCTTCCCTGGCTCCTTTCCCAGGGGCTCCTTTCTCATTCTGAGCTACCGCAGTGGCTCTCCTGCTGCCCTCTAGTGGCCATCTAGTGTAGTGCAGCCTCTTAGCCCGGCGTCGGCTGTGTTCAGAATTCCTGGCTGGTTGGCTGCAGCTTAATGTGAGGATGCAGTCAACGGGAGGTGATGCTGCAGGATGCAGTGAGGTGTGATGATTACACGCCCACCCTCGCTGTGGCCTCTGCTCTGTGCACCTCCTCTTCCTTATCCACACACCAAATCGCAAGCAGCAACAGGCAGCCAAACCTCCTCCCAAGAGGCTCTCCTCCCTGGTCTCATTCTGCTCCGGCAGGGGAAGGAACGCTGAACTGTCAGGCGGGAACAGCCCACAGCCTCTGCCTTTCCCTGGTTTGGTGATCTTGGACTTACCCCTGGTCTCTCTGTTTCTCGGTTTTTCCATAAATCCAGCAACTCTAAGGGCCGCCCAGGTCTGACCTGAGAGGGGGTTGGATGATCCCAGGAAGGCCCCATACTCCTCTCTCAGAGTCAGGGCCACTCTTGCTAGAGGCAGGGGACCCTTCTTGGGGAGTGGGAAGGCCCCCCCTCCCGTCATCTTCCAGGGCGGGGCAGCTCTGCTCCCCTCCCCACACCAACCTGATCCACAGCTGTCCCACCGGGGCCCAGAAACCAGAGGCTCTGCCCTCCGCTGTGTCAGCGCCGCCCTGCCCCCAACCTCCTTCCTCCCCCTCCATGAAACCCCATGCAACCCAGAGCTGTGACTGCCTTTTCTGGGCCACGAACCCCTTTCAGAGATAATCCCTCCTCCCAGAAAGATCCATTTGTGCCCACAGTTGTACACACACAACTGAAGAGGTTAAACCTCTAGGGAAAAGAAGGGTCACCCATGGGTGGGCTTTAGGAGGTCCAGAAACCTCCTAGAGTCTACTCGTAGCACTCTCCCAACCCCAGGATTTTCTTTTCAACTAACTCTATCAGAGAACTTTCCACAGACATGACCCAAGATAATTAAGTTTTAAAAGCTAGGACCAGAAAAAACGTGTGCGACCGTGCACTGCCATTTCTGATGTTTGGACAGGGATGAGCGTGTGTTTGTATGTTTGTGTGTGTGCATAAACAACCACCGAAAGAACTTGTGCTGAACCAGTAACTGTAGAAGCCCCGGCAGGGGGCTAGGAGACGGGAGTGCGAGGAAGGCACAGTTTACATTGAGCTTTTTGGTTCAGTTTGAGTTTATTAACTTTTGGGGACAGAGTGAAGCCACCCGTGCAAGAACTGGAGGACTAATGACAGGGTGGGGCCCCAAAAATCAGCACCGGCACCTCACTGTGCCAACTATTCTCTCAGGGCACTGCCAGCAAGCTCTCTCCTCCCCCATTTCCAAGGCACCACTGTCAAAGTTACTACCTTTCCGCCAGAATGGGGCTCTGTCTGCTCAGGCAGGCCACTAAGGACAGCAGTCAGCTGGGGCTGCTGAGACAGGGCAGGAGCTAAAAATGAACGAGACCT